AGCCCCACGAGCCCGGGGGCGCTGCCAGGGCCGTGCCTCGCACGGATCCAGCCCCCCCGCCCGCGGGGTTGGGCCCCCAAACGTGCCAGCCGAGCCTGTCCCCCTCCCCGAGCCACGGGCCGTGCCCACCCCGAGCCCTACGAGCCCCCAGCCCGCTCACTCAGTGCCCCGAGACCCCCAGCCCAGCGCCCTGGGGATGGAGCGGGGTCCCAAATCCTTCCCGTGGGTGGTGGGGGGCACCCCTGTCCCCCCCGTGCTCACTGGTGCCCTCTCCCCCTCCCCAGCAAGGCAGAGGCCGAGGCCATCGAGAAGGAGCTGCTGGAGGATTATCGGTTTGGGAGGCAGCAGCTCATCGAGATCTGGGGACACGCCTGTGCCGTGGCTGTCACCAAGGTGAGGTGGCCAGGGGGGCTGGGGACACCCCACTGGGGCTGGGGACACCACACTGGGGTGAGGACACCACACTGGAGCTGGGGACACCACACTGGGGCTGGGGACACCACACCAGGGCCGGGGGAGTTGCTGCCAGCTGCTCTCCCACCCTCCTCCTGCCCCCCTGTGTTGTCCCACCCCGGCTGTGTCTCCCTCCCACTCCGGACCGAACTGTGGGGACAAGGGCCAGCAGTGCTGGTGGCACAGCCCGGTGGGCAGCGATGCCACGGCCGTGCCAGGGCTCCAGCCTCTCCCTGGGTGGGTTTCTTTGCATCCCTCAACCCCCCCCATTCACTATCCGCCCTGGGAATTGGGCTCAGTCACACAGCCCGTGGAAAGGGGGGATGCTCAGCCCGTCCTGGGGTGTCAGGTGAGGGGGGGTCTCTGGGGGTCCCCATGTCCTGGTGATCCTCCCTCGCTGGGGTCGCCGGGTGCTCGTGCTGGATGTGAGGAGGAGGAGGAGAAGGAGGAGGAGGAGGGGGAGGAGGCAGCCGGGCAGCGCCGAGGGGCAGCATCAAGGGCAGCTTTGTGAGCTCCGCGCCCGCTGCCTCAGGTTTTCCGTCGGAGGTGGCTCTGCCCTTCCCTTCTCCAAGGGCAGCCGGGTTGCCCGAGGAGGAGGAGAAATATTTTGGTGCTGGAGCCTCTCGGGGCCGCCCCCGGGGCCGCAGCATCCCCGGCCCCGCGGGGGCTGAGCATCCTCCCCGTGGGGCCGAGTATCCTCCTCTTCCTCAGGGAGAACGCCCAGCCCCGGCATCCCCCCTTCAAGCCGGTGTTCCCCGGGCATTGTCCCCTCGGGCACGTCCCCGGGAGGCGCTGGCAGCGTGGCTGGCGCCGGGGCAGGGCCGGGGCCGGGCTCACACGGACCGGGAGCTCCGGGCGCTGGCGGGGGGACGGGACCCGGAGCCAGGCTCCGTGAGCAGGAAAAAATCCGTCAATGGATAAACAGCGTCCCCGGGCAGGCTCCTGGTATGTGGAGCACGGAGCCGCCTCCCTGCAGCTGGCGGGGAGCCCCCGGGCCCGCGGGCACCGGCCCGGCCTGGGCAGTGTCCTCAGCCCTCCGTGGGCATCCTCCTGATCCCACTGTGGGCATCCTGCTGATCCCACCGTGGGCATCCTGCTGATCCCATCATGGGCATCCTGCTGATCCCACCGTGGGCATCCTCCACATCCCACCGTGGGCATCCTGCTGATCCCATCATGGGCATCATCTTCATCCCACCGTGGGCATCATCTTCATCCCACCGTGGGCATCATCTTCATCCCACTGTGGGCATCATCTTCATCCTGCTGCAGGCACCATCCTCATCCCACCACTGGCACCATCCTCATCCCATCCTGGGCATCATCCTCATCCCGCTACGGACCCTTGTCCTGCCCCACCCCAGGTGCCACCCAAGTCCTGCCACTGATGCCACCCCCCATCCAATCCCTGTCCTGCCATGGATCCCATCCCCGTCCTGCCGCATGTGCCACCCCCATCCCACCCTGGGGATTGTCACCATCCCACCCCATGCCCTGTCCCACCCCGGGCACCATCCCCACCCCACCCCCACCGCGTGGGTCCCCGTACCCCTCCCTCCCTGGTCCCCCTGCCCCCTCCCTGTGCCCGGGTGCGGTTTGGCGGTGGCATTGTGACACGGGGAGGTGGTGACCGGCCATCCCCGTCTCCTCCAGGCGTTCCCGCTGCCCTCGCTGCCCCGGAAGCAGCCCACGGTTCTGGTGGTGTGCGGGCCGGCGCAGAACGGGGCTATCGGGCTGGTGTGTGCCCGGCACCTCCGCAGCTTTGTGGGTACCTCCCTCCCCTCCTCCTCCTCCTCCCCTTCATCCCTGAGCGATGCCGGACCCCGAGCCCGACCCCTCCCCTCCTCCCGCAGGACTACGAGCCCACCATCTTCTACCCCAAGCGCTCCCCGGACCCCCTGTACCGGGATTTCACGACACAGTGTGAGAAGATGGACATCCCCTTCCTCTCCTACCTGCCCACCGAGGTGAGACCCCCCCAGCCCCCTCAGTCCTCCCAGGCCCCCAGCCCCTCACAGCCCCCCCAGCCCCCGCACTCCCAGCCCGACAGCACCGAGTTTATTCCTCCTTTTTCCCTCCCCTTCATCCCCCCCGCCCGGTCCCGGCTCTGCTGGGAGCCCGGGGATGCCATGAAATCCAGCGGCGGCTGCCGCGGCCCCGCCAGCCACCGGCTCTGTTGTTTTTGGAAGCCTCCGGGCTGGGGCGGGAGGAATTTGACCCAAAAATCGCTGCCCTGGCCGCGGCCGCGCGTCTCGGCGTGCCGGGCTCTGCCCCGCGCCCCCCCTCCCTCCCTCCCTCCCTCCCTCCTTCCTCACCTCGGGGGGGGGGATTTTCTTGGCCGTAGCCGCTGGGTGAGTCCAGTCCTGCAGGAAAACGGGATCCCCGCGTGGGCCGGGGCCGGTCCCTGGGTGGGGGGTGACCCGGGGACCCTCCCCCGTGTGTGTCCCACCCCACCCCCGTCCCCAAAAGGTGCAGCTGATCAACGACGCCTACAACGCCGTGGTGGACGCCGTGCTGGGAGCCGAGGCGGAGGCGGGCGAGGGGAGGGAGCCCTGCGCCGCCATCCTGGCCACCCTCAAGCACATCCGCATCCCCATCGTCAGCCTGGATGTGCCCTCAGGTGCTCAGCCGGTGCTCAGCCCCCTCCCCGGGCTCGGGATGGGACCCCCGACCCGCCGCTCCTCGCATTCCTCACCACCACCCCCCCCCCGGTTGTTCCCCGCGGTGTCACCGCAGTGCCCGAGCACCCGAAGTGCCCTCCCAGGGTGGGGACATCCCCGGGGACCCCCCCGCTGTCCCCCCCCAAGCCTGGCAGCGTCCCGCGGGGCGAGGCGGATCCGCTCGATGCGTTCGGGGCATCCACGGTAAATAACAAACTCCCCGAACTGAGACATGATGTAATTTGAAAACACCCGGGCGTCTGGTGGCCAGGCCTGGAATTGTCATCACCCCCCCCCCCCCCCCCCGGGGGGGGGCCCCCCCCCCCCACGCCGCGGGAGCAAACAGGAGCCCTTGGCACGGCCGCTGGTGAATCCCCACCAAGAAAAACCCCGCGTGGAGCCAGGCCGGGGGCGGTGCCGCGGGGGCAACACGCTCCCCGTCCTCCCCGTGCCCTCCCCCCCCCCCCCCGACAGCGCCTCGACCCCTGGGGTCACCCCTGAGCCCCTCTCTGTGTCCCCACAGGGTGGGAGGTGTTTTTGGGGGGAGGTCGCTCCCTGAACCTCTCTCTGTGTTTCCACAGGGTGGGACGTGTCGGGCTTGATCCCCCTCTCTGTGTCTCCACTGTGTGGGCCCGTCCCCTGGGGTCACCCCTTCTCCCCGTCCCCACAGGGTGGGATGTGTCCCCTGGGGTCACCCCTGAGCCCCTCTCCCTATTTATTCTTCTCAGGGTGGGACGTTTCCCCTGGGGCCACCTCCTCCCTGTGTGGGTGGGGATAGGGCAGGTCCCCTGGGGTCACCCCTTTTCCCTGTCCCCACAGGGTGGGAAGTGACCCCTGGGGTGCTCCCCAGCCCTCTCCGTGTCCCCACAGGGTGGGAAGTGACCCCTGGGGTGCCCCCCAGCCCTCTCTGTGTCCCCACAGGGTGGGACGTGCCCCTGTGGTCACCCCCTCTCCGTGTGCCCGCAGGGTGGGACGCAGAGTCCGGGGGCAGCGGTGGGATCAGCCCCGACGTCCTGGTGTCCCTGGCGGCCCCCAAGGAATGTGCCCGGCGCTTCCTGGGCCGCCAGCACTTCGTGGCCGGGCGGTTCCTGCCCTACGACGTCCAGAAGAAGTTCGAGCTCAACCCCCCCGAGTACCCTGGCACCGAGTGCGTGGTGGCCCTGTGAGCCCCTCCAAATAAAGTGCTTGCTGGCTCCTCCTCAGGGTCTGTGTGGGCTCAGGGCCATCCCGGGTTGGGGTTGGGGGATTGTGCCGGGACTCGGTTCCACACTCGGCCCCCCCCGTGTGTCCCCTGGGAGCTGTTCCTGGGCACGGACCTGGTGTGACCTCCCCTGTGGGGACACGGGCAGCTGTGGGGGCCCCGTGGGTGGCTGTGGGGTCCCTGGTGCTGCCACATCCCCCCGTAGCCTGAATCTCCCGGGAAACACCGGGAAAGGGTCGCTGGAGCAGCCCCCCCCCTCCACGGGGTGTTCATCACCAGTGACGAGACACCGCTGGGGACTGTCCCCCCCCCCGCCCCAGCAGGGAGAGTGTTCGTGACCCCAGTGCAGCCCCTGGAGCTGCCTCCCCCTCGGGGGGCTCCGCGCAGCCGGAGCTCCGGGGAATGCAGGGAATGCGCCGGGATTTCCGCCGGCCGGGCCGAGGGAGGGGGCTGGGGGTGACCTGGGGCCGGGGGGGCGGGGGGTCCCCACGCCGCCAACCCCCGTCACACGGGGTGTTTTGCATCCCAAAACCCCGGAGGGGCAGTGGGGAGCCGTGCCCGGTGCCAGCCCCACCCTGGGCTCGGCAGCGGTGCCGGGGCAGCGCCCACCGAGCACCGAGACCACCCCCCCCCATCCTCCGGCAGCGGTGCCAGGGCAGCGCTGGCACCCCCGGCTCATCCCCGACCGCGGCAGCGCCGAGGCCGGGCTCGCTCTCGCCTCTTCCCCTTCCCTCCCTCCGCATTCCCAAGTGCATCCAATTTTAGCAGCTTTGCAAAAACAAGCCCTCAAGTTTCCCGGGCTGGAGCGGCGGCACGGCCGGCTCGGGGAGGGCTCCTTCCCGCTTCCCACTTGGACACGGCTCCGGCCCCGTGTGCCAGGAGCGAGGGGGACAGGCCTCTCCTATAAAGCCCCGCGGAGCCGTTCCCGCTCCCAGTGCCGGCCGGAGCAGCCATGGGGGAGCTGGCGCTGGCACTGCTGGCGCTCGCTGCCCTGCACGGGGCCGGGGCCACAGGTAAGGGCGGCTCTGCCACCCGGCCGTGGCACGGGGACCACGATGTCGGGGGCTGGGGGCCGAGGAGAGGGGCAGGGTGGGGATGGGGATGGGGCTGAGTGCTGGCCGGAGGTGTGCCGGGGGTGGTGGTGTGTGCCGGGGGTGATGATGTGATGTGTGCCGGGGCCAGGCGTGTGCCAGGGTCGTGGTGACAGCTGGGATGGTCACAGCTGGATGGTCCCTCTGGCATCTGACACGTCGGGGACGCTCAGGGGGTTTTGTCCTCCCCTGGGTCGTGGCACTGGATGGAGGGATGAGGACATGTCCCACGCTGTGTCCCCCCCAGCCCTGCTGGCTCTGGCACCACAGGGCTGAGCCCCAGGAAGGCCCAACTGGCTCGGTGTGACACCGGGTTCGTGCCCTGGTGGGTGGTGTGTGGGCACCTGGGGTCATGTCCTTGCCCCACATCCCCCCTCCGGGACAAGTTCATCCTGGGACAGCCAGGAGATCCCAGGCAGCATTTTCCATGAACACCCCTGGGTTCATCCCTGCCTGCCAGGAGGCTGTGGCCCCTCCTTGGCCACCCTGGACAGTGGAACTGATAAATCCCACCCCAAACCCCCTTTCCGCATGACCATGGGGGCCTGGGGGGCTCAGGGTCCCCTTTCCCACTGGGTCACGGCTTTGATTTGGTGCCCGTGGCTCAGCCAGGGACCCTCTGTGTGCCCCTGGAATGGGGTGCCCCGACTCGGGGTTCTCCCACCCTTTGCACCCCCCAGAGCCCCTGGAGAACGACTCGGAGCCCGGGAAGAGCGGAACGGCGGGAAAGCCCTGGAAAGCCGCCCCCGACCCGGCAGAGCTGGACCTGGACACGGCAGGTTTGGCTGTCCCCGAGCCCCCAGCAGACACCGTGTCCCCCCAATGCCACACGAGGCAACGCCCACCCTGTGCCACCCACCCCACAGGACCCCCAAACTTCCTTCTGCTCCCCAACATTCCCGCGTCCCCAGGATGTCCCCGGGTGTCACCCCGGGGTGCCCAGTGGGGCGGGGGGCACTCAGGGCCGGCTCCATTCCCAGGTAAAGGTGCCGAGTGGACGTCCTGGTTCAACATCGACCACCCCGGGGGGGACGGGGACCACGAGAGCCTGGAGGCCATTCGCTTCTACTACCGGGGCCGCGTCTGCGAGCGGCCCGTGGCCATCCAGGCCCGGACCACCGAGTGGGAGCTGCCCGAGGAGGTGGGCGAGGTGGTGCACGCCAGCCCCAAGAGGGGCTTCCGCTGCATCAACAAGGAGCAGCCCCCGGGCAAGACCTGCTCCAACTACCACATCCGCTTCCTCTGCCCGCTGGGTGAGTCCCCCCTGCATCCCACATGCATCCCACCTGTGTCCCACCTGTGTCCCACCGCCCCAGACCCCACTGGCACCTCGCAGGGGGTCCTCACCCGTCGCTGTGCCCTCCCCTTGCTCATCACCCCCCTGCTCCTCATCCCAGCGGGAGCCGCGGGTCCCCTCGGAGCGGCCACCCCTCGGGTGCCGCCGGCAGGTCCCCAGTTAAGGCCCGTGCCCCTCCCCAGAGCACATCTACTGGTCGCACTGGTCCTCGTGGAGCCCCTGCTCGCGCCGCGCCTGCGGCAGCAGCGGCACCCAGACCCGCGCCCGCCGCTGCCTCAGCGCCCGCCCCGCGGCCGCGCTCAAGGAGGTCAAGTGCAAGGGCAAGGCCGTGGAGCGCCGGCCCTGCAGCGCCGGGCCCTGCCCAGGTAGGGACCCCAAAACCCCCCCACCGGCACCCACCTGCCCCCCGGGTGCTGCTCATGCCCCGGTGACACCCACCTCCGGCTCTGCCGGCGTGAGGGGTCCCGTGGAGATGTGAGCCAGGGCTGTCCCCCTGTTTGGGGACCCTCCGTGCTTCATGACCACCCCAGGCCAGGTGCTGAGGGGCCCGTGCTGCCCGATTCCCACGCGGTGTCCCCCCCGCAGAGCCTGCCTGGACGGAGTGGGGCTCCTGGGGCCCCTGTTCTCACAGCTGCGGCAGCGCCGGGACACGCGTCCGGCGCCGGAGCTGCGAGGCCGCCAAGAAGACGCCGTGCCCCGGCCGCCCCACCGAGGTGCAGAAATGTCCCCCCTCGCCCTGCCCAGGTACCGCCCTCGGGGACATGGGGGGACCCCCTCCCCGGTGCCCGCCGGCCCCGGGGGTCTGAGCTCCGTGCCCCCACAGCCTGCCCCGAGCACACGCTGCAGGGCACCGTCGTCACCGGCACCGGGGCGGCGCTGCCGGACGCCAGGATCTACCTGGAGGGTTCCCCGCCGGCGCTGTTGGGCCGCAGTGATGCCCACGGGCGCTTCACTGTCACCGCGGGGCTGTGCCAGGGCAGCGCCAACATCAGCGCCCACCACGAGGGCTTCGCCCCGGCGCTGGCACCCGTCACCTCCAACAGCTCCGGCCCGGTGCTCCTGAGGCTGCGGCGGCTGGGTGAGCATGGTGGGGTGGGTGGGGGGCAATGCACCCCTCGGGGGGTCACCCCAAAGGGTGCGGGAGGCGATCCAGGGGTGCCCATGGCTCGTTCCACCTCGCAGAGAAGCCCTACATGGTGCTGCACCCCAGGGCGCAGGTCCGGGAGGCCGGGCAGGACGTGACCTTCTGCTGCAAGGCCTCGGGCACCCCCGTGCCCAAGAAGTACTACTGGTGAGGCGGGACGGGGGGGGTGGCATGGGAGGGCAGCGCCGGGCGCGTCCCCGCTGAGCCCGTCCCCGTGCCCGCAGGTACCACAACGGGACGCTGCTGGAGAGGAAGGGGCAGCAGCCCGGCGGCCGCCTGGCACTGCGGGGGCTGGCGCCGGAGCAGGCGGGCACCTACCACTGCAAGGCCAGCTCCGAGGCGGGCGCCATCCGCTCGGTGCCGGCACAGCTCACCGTGCTGGGTGAGAACGGGGTGGGCCTCACCAGCCACGGCATCCCCCCCGGGTGGGGAACACCACCCTGACCCCCCTGACCCCGCTGACCCCGACCCCTCCGTGCCCCCAGCCCAGGGCCAGCAGAGCTGCCGCTCGGAGCCGGAGCCGAGCCTGGTGGAGCTGCCCAGCGAGTGCCCCCAGGACGCCGCCGGCTCCCGCCACTACAACGTGGGCCGGTGCCCGCCCTCCCCGTGCGCCGGCGGCCCCGGCGACCCCTCGGGCTGCGGGGGGGCCCCGGGGCACTGCTGCGGGGTGCGCAGGATGGAGCTGCGGGAGATCCCCTGCGCCGGCTCCCTGCTGCCCGTCAAGGTGGTGGCCGAGTGCGGCTGCGGGCCCTGCGCCCAGCCCCGCGTGCTGGTGCAGGGCCGGGTGACGGCGGCCGACACCGGGGAGCCCCTGCGCTTCGGGCAGATCTTCCTGGGCGGCAGGAAGGTGGGATTCACCGGCTACAAGGGCTCCTTCACCATCGAGGTGCCGCCGGACACGCGGCGCCTGGTGGCTCGTTTCGTGGACCGGCAGCAGCGGTTCCTGGATGCCGTCAAGGTCCTGCCCTTCGACCCCCGCGGGGGAAGCGTCTACCACGAGGTGAAGGTGCTGCGGAAGAAGGAGCCGGTGGAGCTGGACAGCAGCCGGGGCAACGCCATCCCACTGGGGGAGGCGAGCGGCCGGGAGCCCATCGGGGAGCTCGTCCTTCCCGCCGGCGCCTTCCTGCGCCCCTCCGGGGAGGTTTTCAACGGCACGGTCAGAGCCAGCGTCACCTTCCTGGACCCCAGGGACATGGCGACGGCCAGCGCCGCCTCCAGCGACCTCAGCTTCGCCGACGCCGAGGGCGAGATCGTCCCCCTGCGCACCTACGGCATGTTCTCCGTGGATTTCCGGGAGGGGGAGAGCGGCGCGGCGCTGCAGACGGGGCCGGTGCAGGTGCGGATGGACACGGGGCAGGTCTGGATGCCGGAGCACCTGCAGAAGATGAAGTTGTGGTCCTTGAACCCCGAGACCGGCCTGTGGGAGGAGGAGG